GGCTTTAATGCTTCTGTATAGGGGCCACCAGACCCGGCCTTCCTCACAAGCAGGCTGAATATCATATCATTAAGGCTCGTTCTGTGTTTGACTTCATAATGGGTAAACTGTAAATGGGACTGTACTTATATAGCGCTTTCTAGCTTTCGACACTCAATGCGCTGTACACTAGGGGCATGCCACACTCACCCCATTCACACACACTCACACTGGTGCACGGCCTATTTCAGATCAACAGAGAGCAATCAATCAATCAACCCTCTGCAGTCCATCTATTACAGGGCGACCGGACACATAGGCCGATTTGTGCATAAATCATTCTGCGCACATTGCCCCAATTACAGCGGGACAGTATTAGAGGTCAGGCTAGGGTTCCGGTCAGCACTGGGACTGTGCTTGGACAATTAGAGACTAGTAGACCGGGCGGAGGGAGGGACGGCTACTTCAGATAGGACACATGAACGTCTCTCTTCGGTCTATAATCCGGGGGTTTAAAATCCGTCCGGGTTATCAGCCGGCAACAGAACACAACACAAGGGCCGGAAAGTTGAGATTTGCTTCAAACAAAGGCATAAATTAGAGCCTTAAAAGAGTGTTTCCTTTTTATTGACACACAGAAGAACTCAGTCAAAACTGTGGAAAAAAAGAGGTTATCATAGGGTTTCAAAGTTTACAAGTTTTCCTTGTATGGAAAACAAAATGGAAATTACATGCGGGACAGAGGGGTGTTACAATTAGGGAAGGGGTCCAATCACTGTTCCCACACAGTCCATTTAATAAATTATATCTTATATAAGATTTCTTTTTCTTTTTTTCGCTTTAATGGGGGCCTCTAGTTCAGGTACTAGTCAGACCCTCCACCCTTTTGATTACAGAAGGGGTTGACTACCACGATTTAGGCCAGATTTCCTATAATAAGGAGCAAACAGTAGTTGGACCTTGGGTAAGTGCCCCCCCTCTTGCTCTGTGCTCAACAGTTGAGCAAGGCTCGGGTCAGAACCTGGGTCGACTCCTCCTTTTGGCAGAGATAACACTAGCCACCTAGTAGCTAATCTGCATCATCGTTGCTAATAAGTTACATCTCAAAGCAGGGGTTGTATGAATTTGAGGTGCAACACAGCTCATAAATCCTCCATTTTCAACTTGGGGAGTTTTCTTTAATTCCTCAGAGGTCAGCACTGTCTAGATTAGGCGTAGAAGGTTTAGCTAGCATTTAGCTACAGGAAGTTAATTAAAAAAATAGCTATGGGTCGCTTTATCTTTTAAGCTCTTAAAAATCTGGATTGTCTTTTCACATAGAGGAGCCTGAGCACATGCATATCTATACAGAGGAGGACAAAGGTTCACAGAGGGCTTGCTCAGATGTTATGGGGGGAACAGAGCGGAAAAGGGCCGGGACTCAGAAGGGTCCATTTGACTAATCGCATCCAGCCTAGCAATTTGGAGGGAAGACCCATGGATGTGTTGGAAGGGCGCTTGAAAGAAAGCTAGGGGCTTGGGGGTTGAAAATGTTTCATAAGTGTACTTATCACGAATACATTTTAATATGGAAATAATTAAGTATTATTAAACCTACAGGATTAATAATGATTTCAATTGTTGTATTATAATGAGATTGGTGTTCGGGGGAAGAAATAAGCCCCACATATAAACTGGTGGTGTAAATAAGCTACGTTAATTTTTTCAACTACTTTCGCAACTTTATTTGGGGGGGCCACTCAGGAAGCTGAGTGTGTTGGTGGGTCTGACGGTTTTGTGATGCTACAGCTCCCTGTGTTTAAATCCAAGCTCAGGACATCAGGCAGGGCCAAACAAACACGTGCTAACGAAGTGCCCTCCCCTGGTTGCCAAAATACACTAAAGCATGCATATCAGGGGTTTCCGCAGGTTTGCAAGTTGACCTCCGCCGGGCTAAGTATCCTGGGACTATTTTTTAAAATGCTTTCTTAAAAGGGGGCCTTGTTAGAACTTCAGCTTGCAAGTTAGAGGACAGGAAAGTCGTTTGTACGTAGGCTAATGCTATGTTGAGTTAGGCCTAGCGCTAATGCTAGCAGCTAGTTGAGAGAGAGAACGAGATGGTGATGGTCAGCTAAGTAAAACAGCAGCTGGGTGAGCATTATACAACTGTGAATGTAGCTTTAGTGGTATATTAATGATACCTTGCACATAAAAATGAGATAACATGCAGTCATAAATGTGCAAAGCAGAATTTCCTGAATTTTGTGAAGGCTAGATATCATTTACCGCTAGCTAATTTTAGAGACATGAATCAGCCCGGCAATTTATCTCCAGCAGAGCAGTAACGATGTTTTCTCAGCACCTTTTCAAATCAGCTATGGCTTAATCCTTCTGATATTGTTCTTATTCTTAATTCAGTTTTCTTTTGTTGTGTTGAAAACACAGCATTCAAGAATTACACAGATTGTCTGATTATCAGACATTATAATATTAGTCATATACAGCTCCTTCTTGAATTGATTGATTTTTTAAAATGTGTGTTAGTAATTCACTTTATAAATGCATTATCATGACTGTTAAATTCTCCAGTCAGCTTTTGAAATTTTGCTTAATGCGGTTGCTTTTGAGTTGTCAAAGTAAAAGTTTTTAAATGCTGTATTCGTTCGCCTGTGTGATTTTATCCACAGAGCCGCTCTTTGGTGAAGAAGATACATTAAACTCCAGAAGATATTGAGGCGCAAAGAAATACTGACTGACACATTACTGGTTGGCCAATGACTTTCTATGTGGGCCTTTGTGTGAGCATCCTACTAGTGCGACGCAGAACTATATCTCACAGAACCAGTTATGGATAACTGGTGGCCTACAATATGGTGGTTAAACCATGCACTAGAATGGACAGGAAGGCCCCCTAGGGGAATTTATTGTCCTTCATACATGAGCAGTCGAAAACGAAAAGAAAAAGAACAAAACCAAAAGACGCTTGAAATCCACACCCAGTCTCGTGGATGCTGATCCTAAACAGCAAACTAACCTGAAGTAGTCCAGTATTAAGTTAGTCTGTTTTAAGGCTATAAATGTGCCCATTTTGTATAGATAGTAAAGTGTCTAAAGTGCTCCACAGTGGTGAGGAGCGCTTACTGCCTGCCGGTTTTTTTCCTTTCTGCCCTGCCCCTTCAAAAAGTCTGTGCACGCCCACTGATTGGATTGTATTATATGCCTACATGCCATGGACTCCCAATAGGACACTTTAGCGAGCTAAAGCTACAAGCTGCCGCCTGAGGCAGCGCCAAGTACCTATATATATATATATATATATATATATATAACACAAGATAATTCTGTTTATCTTGTGTTGTTAAATTGAACTAAGCAGTAGGAGATGTGACCCATGCTGAAGAAAATATACTTTATTAATCCCCTAGGGGAAATTGTTCTCTTCACAATATATATTTTTTTTTTTCTCCGGGTCCCAAGCCAAATCCCTACACACTGAGCTACTGCTGCCCCTGGAAACAGGTACTAACAAATAAATAGGCAACACCCAAAAGGATACATTTTTGTCAAATTTGAGGAATATTTTAAAAATAAAAGAAAAAAATTAGTATATACATTTTGAATTTCAATTGTACAGGCTGCTATGGTTTTAATTGCCTTTTGTTTTAATGAGTGTGCAGTTGACTAAATGTATTGTTTTAGTCCCTGGTGAAGACAACAAAGCAGTTTCCTTCCAGTCAATTTTCATTTATGAATATGGAATTTGGCAAAAAAACACAAACAAACTCTGCTTAAGTTTACAATTCCCTCGCATAAGGGTTAGGGTTAGTTGCTTTGCTTTGGTTACGTCATTTCCGACAATAGCGCTAGCCAATCCCTTGAGCCCAGGACGATGCGTAACGTTGTGACGTAAAATTTCAGCGCCATTTTGAGATGTTTTCAACAGCATTCTACATCCACAGCATGTTGGGATATTAAAAACTAGTCTGTGCGTATGTCACATGTAGACTTGCCTGTAACGTCAGCTGTGTGTGTGTAATGGGGAGATGACTGCAGCTGTCCTCTCGGCGATACGTCTTCTCACGAAGCCTCTGGGCGGTAAGTGATAGTTTGACAGGCCGAAGACAACGTAGACACATTTACTGACAGAAATAATGAGTACTTTTAGCATGGTAATGATGGCTGACTGTTTAGTTTGACCTGCTATAACCTAACCTTTGATGATGGGAACTGTACACCAACCTTTGGAAGCCCGTTTCCGCCAATGTACCAGATATAAGAATATAAGTCACTGTAATGAGAAACCTTTTCGGAATATACTTAGCATCTCACAATAATGAGAAAGTACCTTAAAATATAGACTGTAATAGTAAGTCATTGTGGTTTTTCATGATTTTGAAATGCTAAGTTAAGTTTTTAAGAAAGTTTCTCATTATAATGACTTGCATAATCTTTTTTGGCAATTTAACAATTTATATTAGATTTAGATTTATACAGTTTTTAGCTAAATTTAATTTTAGAAGATTTTCAATCATTTATTTTATAACTTTTTTGTCAATTTATCTGTTACTTTTTGCTATTTCAACCATTTATCCATTACTTTTAGCCACCTGTTTACTCTCCGCTCGCTAACTAACGTTAACTAGCTAGTCTTCACCTGTTGTTCAGATGTTACAGCTAACTCAATATGTACTCCTGGTTGAGAATCACTGGCGTACCACATTAGTTGTACACAACCGATAATGCAATGTTCTGTGTATTGTTGTCTGTAGAGGCGTCGGTGCATGATGCTCAGTCCTCACACCAAGAGGCCCTCTCAGCAGCGCTGCGTGCCAACAGAGCCTTCCTCTTAGAGCAGCTTCAGAGTGAGCGCAGCTTTGAGGAGGTGAGGAGACTGAGGGGGGAGGTAATGGCGGCGACAGACTGGTTCTCCAGCAATACAGAAGATGCCACATGGGGCTTTGTCCAGGAGTGTCTCCTGCTGCTCCTCGCCTTAGCGCGACACCTTTCTGTTGAACTTGAACTTTTCAAGCAGACTCCTGCTCCCTCCACGGCTAAACTACGCACCCCTGAGATGGCCCCACCTTTACCTCCTGACACCCTGAGTGTCACCCAGCAGAAGACGCTTGGAACCGCTCTTCAGTTTGTGATTTCTTTGGGGCTCTGCCCCTACCTGGCCCCTGGAGTGGGTGTGCCACTGGGCCGCAGGTCAGCATTTGGAGTCATGGTGGAAAAACTTGTTTGCAGTGGGGCAGTGCCAGCAGTGGGCCGCCGCCTTTATACCACAACAAATGTCCTGTTGCAGTTGTCAGAGCTGTCATCTCTCGCCACACTGGTGTTCACACAACATTTGGGAGATGTAATGGCTGCACTGTGCCAGCTTGGATACCAGCCACACCGGGCAGGGAGTGACACAGAGGAGGAGAAGGTAACACACCTGAATATCTCATTTCTTCACCCGTTAGTAGGATTTATTGGCAAGACAGGACTTGAAGTAAACTGTGCAGTTAAGTGATCATATTATTTTTGTCAATTGCTTTTGATGCCCGTGGACAAGATAAATAAAAGGCATCTGTTTTGTTTTTTTCCTTCTTGCAAACTCTTTAGATGCAGGAGCTCAGTGCTGAGGAACGTCAAACCTGCAAGGAAGCCCTCAAAAGCCTTCTAGAAAAAGTCTACCAGCCAATCGTCATCAAGGAGCTGCTGATCCTCCAAGGTGGACCCAAACAGGTGTGCTTGTCTGTGTTTGGCAGGGGATTAGGCGCTGACAACTTGAATAAGGAGTGATAATAGTGTGCTTATTATTTGATGTATATTTGAAATGATTATATTGTGTAGTTGCTGGCCCTTGGTTAGATAGCTAGACTTGCTCTTCAATACCACTGCTAACAGCACGCTGTCTGCCCATCGCTTGTATGTATTTCCCCAAAGACCTCTTTCTTCCTTTTTGATAATAAGGAAATAATAACACATTTAAAGGTTGTTATATATACAATATTGACTTGCCACTGGATGGCGCCTAGAGCACCAGCATCTTGTTTTTGCCACTGATGGACTCAGATTATTGAGATGACTAAAGGTGATTTTAGTTGGACTTTGGTATAATAATAATAATATAAACCTATTAATTGTTATGTAAAGTTTGTAAATAATTTCATCAAAATTACAATACTGGATATGTTTTATAAACTTATTTAAAAACTACATTTCCGTATAAGAGAAGGCCAAGATGGCAGGCTTCTATTATTAAAGCTTCCCTGTGTTTTCTTCTAAACAAGCAAAGGACTAACAAACGTGTCGAGTCCTTCCTCAAAAAACAATATAATGAAATGCTGTTCTCCATTTAGATTTCCCAGCTGTGGTGTTTATAAGGCTCGCTGTAAGGCCTTTTTTCATGTGTGCTGTCCCTCCTTCCAGCCTGCTGCAGTGAGAAGCTCCAGTGGTCCCAGCAGCAGCAGGGCAGCTCTGGGATCAGCTCCGGCCTGGCTGAGGCGTCTGTGTGGCCAGCTGCTGTCTGAGCGCCTGATGCAGCCTAACGGTGTCCAGGCTGTTGTCAGAGCCATCCTGGGGGGAGGAACAGGTGAGTAGGAGTGAAGGTAATGATAGAAGAATGTCTCCACACTGTGTTTGCCTCTGTTATATAATTTTCTTAGCATCTTGTATTTTACCTTTTGGATCTTTTTATTGAAATTTAGAGAATGGAACTTGTATTTGATGCATTCAAACCTAACTAGATCACTGTTTCTGTCCTCCAGGGAATGAGTCAGACTGGAGGAAATGTGAAAGTGTGGCCAGGATCCTGGTGACCTGTCCTCAACAGTCCTCAGCAGACAGCTACTACAGACAAGTCTGTCCTCAGGTCAGCTCACACACCCACCAGTTGGCTGTGCTGTTTTTGAACTAAAATGGCGCGTATCTAAGGATACGTGGAAGAGGCACAGTCTGTGGGAGCCGGTTATGAAATTATTGTAAATACAGGACAAAGACAAGGACAAATCGCCATGTACACCAATCTATCCAGCTGCTCTGTTGTAACATGAGATATAGAAAGTATCTTTATCTATCTATCTAAATCTAGCTGGTGAAATTGCGTTTCTTTAATCTCCCACCCAAATTTTGAAAACGGTGTTTCTTGTTTGTTAACTACATAATTCTGGGTTATAATGATTTGGATGTTATTTTATGACATCGAGAGACACCGCAACATCCCAACCAAAAAGTCAGTTGGGCAAAAATATGAGCCATTAGGAGATCGCTTGTAAAAGGAAGAAGGCTAAACTTATTTGAAAGAGAAAACAAAGGTGAACGTAAAATAATTACGCAAACTGTCTATTGATCATCCATCACAGTTTGTTTGTGGTGATTGTTGCCGTAAAGAATTTGTTCATTTGAAGTGTTTTTCTTGTTGTTTTTGTTGCTGTCTAGATACTGGACCTCCTGCACTTTAAAGACAAGCTGACAGCCCAACAGATGCAGCGTGTGGCCACCAGGGCGTTGCTCTCTATGGTGCAGGAGAAGCCCAGCTTTGGCCAGCAGTACCTGCTCACTCCTGTTCTCGCACCTCTTCACCGCTGCACCATTGCTTCCAGTCAGTAACACCACCATTTATCCATATGTGTGAGATGTTACATTAAAAGTAGAGGTAGTATTAGTAAAAAAAAAAAAAGAAAAAAAAAAGTGACTTGACTCAGGCTGTTCTTTTCACAAAAACAGCCAAAGGATGATAAGTCAGATACCAAAATGGCTGAACATGTTGTTGTTGAAATGTGTTGGTGCATGTGTGTGTTTTACAGACGATGGTCATTCCCAAGCTGCTGTGGAGGAATGGGAGCTGACACGTTGTATAGAGGACATACACAAGGTGAGGACACCCAAACGCATCCATGAAAACACTACACTGACGTAGTTAGGTGGAGTTTCTCTATTAACCAATTAGTTGCTTGTTCCATAAAATGTGGGTCACTGGTTCCCAAAGTCCAAGGTGATACAATATGTATATTGATACAGTTACAATTAAATATATTGTGATTAGCGATGTTCCGATACCATTTTTTCCCTCCCGATACCGATTCCGATACTTGTGCTGTGGGTATCGGCCGATACCGAGTACCGATCCGATACCAGTATGTT